AGCGGATGTTGTCCCTTTGGTTATACCTGCAATGTCAACGAGAGTGACTCGACCAAGTCGACTTGCGCCTTGAGCAAAGGTAGCACACGTGTGACAGACCCTTCAACATCATCGACTGCCTCCCCATCTGCTACCACGGTGGGGGTCTCAGCGGCTACGGGAACCAACACGGGATTAATCCTGGCCACAGAAACTCCACAACCCGCCAGCACAGGCAGCTCATCATCAGGCTCTTCGGGGTCCAGCCGTCGTATCGTCGGCATCGCCGCCGGCTCAGCAGCAGCCGGTGTGGCATGTATAGGAGGCATCATTGCATATGCGTTCATCAGAAGGAAGAACTCCCAGAAGCGCATCATCGAGTCACAGAGAGACTTTAGCTATCACAACAGTCACAGCAGGCCGACGAGGCCAATCATGCCCGCCCACAGCAGATCAACACCAACGCTATCTGGACGCAAGATCGCACCACCCGAGCCCTCACCGCCGCCACCGCCGTTACCTCCGAAGGAACCATACCAGACGCCCAGGAGGAAACGGAAATCGTTACTGAGCTGGGTACCTTCGATCATCAACCGGACGCCGGTGGAACTCCCAGCAACACCAGTACCTTCTAGTCGCTGGGCTGAGCTTGAGCGTCCTCAAGTGGCCCATCTGCCCTATCAGGATGATTTGCTGGGCCAGGTGCACGAGTTGGAGGCAGATGCGAGGTGGCGATTGGGATAAAGCGGCCTACATGGAAGCGGCAACGAGCTGCCTACGCCGCGAATCTGAAGCAAATAAAGCATATCCCAATCCAGCGCCATTGCGTTCATATTCGTAGAGGCCTCTATAATGTAATTCTTCATACGTCTTTGCTATGTTCTCTTGTTCGTGATTTCTGGCGGTTTCAACAAACGCTCTTTGTGCGTTTCACGCCCTGGCAATCTGAATGCCAGTCCTTAGTCGTCTTTCGTCATATCCAGACGCCTATTTCAGACGGCCTTGCGCCAATGTCAAGTCCAAAAGAAGCCAAAAGTCAACCAGGTATTTAAATCGCTTCAACTCGCTTGAGCTCTCTGATCATCAATCCTATCAATAACTCCTCACTTAGTTATCCAACATAGGAGCTTACCAGCGAGCAATCGCAATGGAGCAGCATCAATCATCAACACTCCAAAACAGATTCTCTGACATGTTCATCTCCAGCTCAAGCTCAACCAAAAACACCGCCCCACGCCATCGTGTCCGTCGTCTAGCCCTCCTACGCATGATAGTCCTCGATATAGCCCGCCTCTACGTCCCGTTCGCCTTCAGCGCTCTCTGCTTGACCTTCTTCGGCGTGCTGGTTGCCACGGCGGGGAAGCTCACGACAGCGTGGATCGCGATATACAGTACCTTTACTTTCTCGCTGATTTTCCTCTTCGTCGCTTGCCTCTCGGTCCTAAGGTGTTGTTTGCGGGTGGAGAAGAGGGAGGCTGGTGATGACGATAGTTGTGGGCTACGAGTAGGAGAAGTAGACGATGAGACGGTGCCACGGACAGCCACGCCAAGGACGGCGGCCGGTTTTATGAACGATCCGAGGTTGGTGCAGAATCCGGGTCTGGCCATGGATATCCCTAGGAATATCGAGATGCGAGGTATCGCTGCTCAGCGAGAAAGGGGGAGTAAGGGGTTTCAACAAGTAAGTCATCGTATCGGCTGTTGACCTGGTGGTCTTTTTTTTAAGGGGTGGGGGCGGTAAACGCCTTATACCAGATATGATTTCGAGGCTAGATGCTAAGTATCTCAGTAGAACAGGGAAGCCCAAGTCGCTAACGCCAGCGACTCGCACGCGCCGCACCCACAACGCAATCGGGATCATCAACCGTCACCTCTAAGCTTCTCTCGCACCTTGAACGCAGACCATCACCATCCTCCTCCTACTCAGCGGGTGTCTTGGATCCGATCCTCACTGACCTCCCTAGCCTTCGCAACACCTACAACGTCCAGGTCAAGCAATCGAAATATCTCGAACGGTCAGTCACAAAACACATCTCACCCGCACCGCATCCAGTATTACAGCGGCCTGCAAATGTCAGATGTGCCCATGCCGCTTCGTATTGGCCAGGGACAGCGTATTCTCACGCGCATGGACAGAATGCGTACTGAAGCCGATGTAAATGACCGGCCGCCAGAGCGAGAAGCACCAGCACGACCAATTCGCTCTGCAGCAAGGCATCAGCAAACAAGCTACACGCCACCTCGCGGTCCGCGGCCGCAGCACTCGTGGGCTGAGAGAAGCGTGTGTAATGTCCAGCTGTCGCCGCTCAGCCATTGTCAGGAGACACACGCGCAAATACCACGGATGGAGACCAGGCAGCAGCCTACCAGGCCGTCGGAGCAGCAGCACCAGCAGCAGCAGCAAGGCGAAGTCAGACCGATCCCAGCAAGCCTATCGTCAAGTGGACTTGGAACTGCCAACGTACATATGGTGCTTCTCGAAGAGCCAGATCTAATGGACTTGATCGGACACGACCTCATTGAATGGACAGATCTCTCCCGGCCGATAACAACCAAATCTCTACCTATTCTTATCAACTCGTCATCTCCATTGCCGTCGCCTCGTCCGTGGCATATTGATGAGCGCCTGACCTGTAATTCACATAGAAAGTCACTCGATATTTGCCACTCCTCTGCAAGTTTGGAAGGACTATCCGCCCTCAAGCTTCACATTGCCAGCCCTCGCTCGGCGGTGTGCTCGAGTGACAGTGGTTACTCGTCGATATCACCATTGTCCATGTTGTCACAAGAAACCCAGTATGAACATCAGCTCGCTGGTGTAGTTGGTGATTTGTGCGTCTCTTTCGGAAGACCCGCCTCGTGGAACTCGTCATTAGATGTTTGTCCTCAAAGACTGTCAATCATGCTGATCGACGAGCCTGGGCAAAGGCGTCTGGGCCGGCGTAGCTCTACTCCAATATTGATGAAGCAGTCGCACGGAGCGTATGAGTAGCTGAGCAAATCGAACTAGTGAACAAGTTGGATTGACAGGATGCTCGGTAGCCTAATCCGTGGTGGACCAGAGTATGCTGGACAAATGTATAGGTGAGCGATTCGGCTGATGTTTTGGATCTTGGACGCTGGCTCAAGTGAGTCACTGCGGTCAGATGTTGTTTGGATCCCGAATGAAAGAAAAAAACAATCACCATTAGCTTCCTGAGCGTTCTCCTAACACTACCCTAAAAGGCTATTTTTATCTTAGTCTGTTGAGACTGACCACAGATCAGGAAGAAAATAGAAGATGCAGAACGGGAAAACAGCCTTGATTTCAATTGGTATCAGATCCCCAACGCCTGGTATTGACATATGCCGATGCGAAGTTTCTTTCTCGTCCTTCCACGTCCTCACAGAATCTCGTCAATATCATCCTCATTTTGCGTGGGTGCTGCTGCTGCCGCCACCGCCGCCGCTGCCGCTGCCGCGGTAGTTGCTCTCGTCACCCTAGCTGGTTTCACGGCTTTGGACTGTTGCGCGTCTTGCATCTCATCGTCCAAATCAGCAGCTCCTACGGCGCTCTCATTCTCGTCATCGTCGTCGTCTTCCTCGTTCATTAAGCTAGCGAACTTGTTCAGAGCGGCTGCCTTCTCTCCACCCGCCGAGGCGTTAATCTCATCCCACGCTTTCCTGCGACTGTCAATGTTGCGCGCAGACTCCTTGCTCTTGGCGACTTTGTTTGCTGTCCTGTCGACAATCTCCTCTGCCCGCTCGAGACCACGCTCGTGCCGTTTGCGAGCCCGGGAGCTTAGTACGGACTTGCGACTGCGCTTGATTCTCTTGCTGACGCCGGCATTTTGGTGAATGCCCAGCACGGAAGGACGCTGGTTGAGCGACTCCTCTGGCGCTTGGACGGCCTTGAGAGATTTGTCGGTATTGATGGAGGGAGAGGTGGCACGGCGGGCGGCGCGAGAGTGAATGGATGGTGCTGTTTTTTGGTATGTGTTGTTAGCCCTGGTTTACAGGTAATGCATATTTGCAAGGGCGATCGTCGCGATAAGGCTTACGTTTCACCTTCTTTGCGTTGAACTTGGCCATGTTATTGTTTGCTTGTTTGTTGAGTATTGTCGCTTAGTTGGTAGGAAATGGGGTGTACAGAGAAAGATACATCAACAAGTCGGAAATCTTGACGGCATGGATAGCGGTGATGCGCTATCACGATAAGAAATTTTGGCGGGGCCTTGGACCCCTGTACGGTCTCTCAAGTGGGTCAACTGCCGTTGCGAAGCCGCTCTGAGACGTCGCTGTGCTTCTCCTTCGTTTTTAGACGTGTGGACCGAAATGAAATGTTCTATAGAAACTAGTTCGGTCTGTATTTGAGCGAATCTCAATACTCCACCCAGGGAAGGGACGTTGCAAACGGGACAACACAGTATTGATGATAAGGCATGCTCAAGCCATCATTCGTGCAGTGCCGTCATTGTGCCCCATGCATTTTGAGTAGAGACCACCTTCGAGGACTTTTAGCGTCACCATTGGCTTTCACATACAGTCTTCCGTCAAACAGAGAGAGATACAAGAATCAAAACACATGGTTCGCGCTCAAAACTGCGGTGGTTTTCTCCATTGTCTCCTACTTAGAGTCCTCTGAAACAGTGTAAGATGATTGGATGTTGCTGGCAACAACTCAGTAGGCCGGGGGGGGGGGTGCCGCTGTTCATGGCACGGTGGAGGTTTGTTTCTCCAAAAAGCCTATGTTTTTTATTTGCTCCGCAATGCAAAGAACAATAATTGAACCATGAGGCATACCTAGAACCGGAAGGATATAGCAAAGGCAATCAATAATATATCTATGCGTGTTGTCCTATGAATTCTAGAAAATGCAGGGACTGCTTCCATATTAAAAGGCTGTCCAGCTTGCGTGAACGTAGGTTTGGCTTTCCCCAATAGTAAATGATTGAATTTGCACCATCATGTTCATCGTTCAAGAAAAAATTAGCACGAGTATCAGGAAGATACGCAAAAATGCAGCAAAAGTATAGTACAAATAGCTACGATTGGTTTCGATCCAACGTCCTCCGGGTTATGAGCCCGGCGCTCTTCCCCTGAGCTACGTAGCTGCTTTGCATGTGTGCTGACTGTCGAAAATTTTGAGCTGATATACCCACTGCAAATTTTGTACGCTTTGCCATGGTGGAGCCAAACAATGCTGTGCAGCCGAGGAGGTATGTGGAATAGCAACTAACATAATGCCCTTTTTAATATGCTCGTGCAGGTTGTGCAATGCTTCCGATCTTCATGATTTTTGAGCATACACAACTATATTACCCTGATCAGAATTTAAGTACCATGGTATAGATATTATCTGCCAGTCACCTCGGCTCTTTGCACAAGTTGTATACACAGAGGATGTACGTGTTTACATGGTTCTTACAACTTCATTTCACTCTGTGCTTTTACTCAAGCCACCGGAAAGAAACAGACTGGTGGGTTCATAATCGTGAAGCAGGATTATAAACGATTGTCTGACAGAATGATATTTGCAGTATGTTAACATTCGATCACGATCCTGGGGCAATTATTTGGCAGTACTTACGCACTGCACTTCAAGTTACACTGGATGACGAATCGCTAGGTTCCACCTGCTCCCCAAGGCACGCCTTTGTTTTGATGTCCTGCATTCAGGGCCTCGGTAATCAGATGAGCTCATTTTCTCAATTCGTTCCAGTCATTCACCGTATGTTACTAAATACAGAATAATTATCAAGCCGTCAGGGTGTATTATAGTCTTGTAAATGGTAATCAGGGGGCCGGGGGTATTTGAGAGCACCTATTTTGAGGCCAGGTCTCGAATGTATACAAAAATTTGCAATACTGCTCCCTTTCTAGGTAGTTTTGTATATTGCTTTGGAAGACAGAGCCTGAAAAGGGATAGTTCTGAGCGGTCTTGTTCGGATTAGTATTGTCGAGATAGGTGGGGAACTTGTGGATGAATGTGACTAGAGTATATCCCATCTTTGGTCAAGTGGGGTGCGGGACTGCCAAGTCGTGATTTCTAAGCTGCTCTGACGTTGTCTAGGATGACCAAGCATGTCCTTGGAAGCTACAACCATAAATACTGGTCTTTAATCTTGCTTGTTTGTAATTCTAATCAGATCAAATGACAGCAAGACTCCAGAAGCTTCAGACTCATCTCAAAATGGCCAGTCAATCAGATATTCACCTTTGTGAGGCAGATCTAAACTACCTGCGGTCCACGCTCTGAACACGGCTGGCTAATGCTTTACAGACACTGCCGGGACTCCCAATGGCATCAAAGTAACCATCCTCCTGGAGGAGCTTGGTCTGCAATACAAGGTCGGATTCTCAGGCTAAACACTAGGTTAGAATCAAGTAGTCATGCTAATGTAGACATGTGGGCAGACCACCAACATTGACATTAGCAAGAACACGCAAAAGGTACTGCAACTGGGAATCCTTGTTTGCAGGAAAAAGCCACTGACAGAAGCATAGGAGGACTGGTTCCTAGAGATCAACCCAAACGGCAGGGTAAGACTCTACAAATGCTCCAACTTATGTGTGGAAATGAGGATGGTTAACTAATTCATGACTTTTAGATCCCGGCCATGACGGACAAGTTCACTGATGGCTCGACTATTCGCTTGTTCGAGTCTGGCTCGATTCTGCAATATCTTGTAGACAGATACGACTCAGAACACAAGGTTTCGTATCCACATGGCTCTAAGGAGTATTACGAAGTCAACAACTGGGTTCGTCGACTTGCTTGATGCAGTGGCTTATGCCAATGTTGCAGACACTAACCGCGTCTGCTACAGCTTCACTGGCAGATGGGAGGTCTTGGACCTATGCAGGGCCAAGCCAACCACTTCACCCGCTATGCCCCCGAAAAGATTCCGTACGGCGTTTCGCGCTACCAGAACGAGACACGCCGCTTGTGTGAGTATCTGCTGACTTGTTAGGTACTGCCTTTAATGAACTCGATTTCTGACGCTCAGCAGACCGTGTTCTGGATACCGCCCTGGCAAAGTCCGAGTCTGGCTTCCTTGTCGGCGACCGGGTCACCATCGCTGATATCAGCTCCTGGGGCTGGGTGTCCTCGGCTAGTAAGTCTTGTGTCAAACGAAGTCCTTACCCCGACACAGCTCTATGGCTAACAGAACGCTTGTGAAGAATGGGCTGGGGTGGATATTGATGAGTTTCCCAATCTGAAGACATGGCTGTACAAGCTGCTTGAGCGTCCTGGATTTGAGAAGGGTCGCCATAACCCCACGAAGCATACTGCATTCGAGATGGCCAAGCTGAGCGAAGAGGAATTGGATGCAAAGGCGGAGGGTGCTCGCAACTGGGTGCAAGCCGGCATGAAAGCCGATGCCAAGAAATAAGCAGATCTCTTTTTGTACTTTGCGTACTTTGTTGATAAAAACTCAATTTTCTACCTCTGGACCACATGATGCCAAAGAAATCACCGCATGCTTTTGAATTCCTACATGTTACGCGGTCCTGGAGGTCCTCGAACGTTGAGGTCGCGCCAGCAGGTAGGTCTCCACGGGTACCTGCTACCGCTAGCACTTTGTAACCTTTTGTACCTAAGTACCTCCGCCTAGTACTTGTAGGTGCTCCCTTGCGATCAGGCAACCTGGGTTTAGCACCTGGACAGGCTTAGTCACTCGGATGGCCCAAACGGCTCAGTGGTTGTTCAGGCAGCCAGTTCTCAAGCCCGCCAAAAAATCTCCAACTTAGCAACAACGAACCACCGCCAACCTTTCCATCAACCCTTCATCAATCACGACCGCACAACCGTGCGAACTTATCAAAATGTCGTGGCGAAATCAAGGAATCACGGGTTCAAATAACATTCCTCTGGGAAAGGCCCGCAGATTCGGTGGCGAAGCAGATGGTAGAGAGGAGGACGATGTCAGCCCGGCGCCGCCTTCCAATGGCTTTTCCGGCGGCCCTGACCGCGACATGAAGCGCGGTCGCAGCCCCGAGCCCCGTACGTGGTCTTATGTCTCGCTGAATTGTCCTTTGTGCCATTGCTGACCGTTTCTAGGGATTGACGCTGATGGCTCCCGTCGTCGCAAGAAGCGCAACCGATGGGGTGACGCCTCGGAGAACAAGGCAGCCGGCCTTATGGGACTTCCAACCGCTATTGTGGCGAACATGACAAGCGAGCAACTCGAGGCTTACACCCTTCACCTGCGTATCGAAGAAATCAGTCAAAAGCTTAAGATCGACGATGTTGTACCTGCTGATGGCGACAGGTAAGCATTTGCTTGTTGTTTTCTCCCTTAATCAACTGCTAACAAAACTACCATGCAGATCGCCCTCGCCTGCTCCACAGTACGACAACCACGGCCGACGTGTCAACACAAGAGAATACCGATACCGAAAGCGACTCGAAGACGAGCGGCACAAACTGATAGAAAAGGCGATGAAGACCATTCCTAACTATCACCCACCCCAGGACTATAGGCGCCCCACGAAGACTCAGGAGAAAGTCTATGTGCCAGTCAATGATTATCCGGAAATTAACTTCAGTATGATTGCTAACCCTCCGACCTCTCTAACAATATCCCAATTCCCTGCAGCTTGGCAAGTGTTCAGACTTCGCGTAATAGCAGCCCTGTTCCGCAGGCTTGTCCCACTGATAGAATTGTGCTCCCTGATGTTGAGCTTCTGATAACGATACTAACACTCAGCTCTCCCTGTCTCAAGTTGGTTTGCTCATCGGTCCTCGTGGCAACACTCTGAAGAAGATGGAAACCGAATCGGGCGCAAAGATTGCCATTCGTGGTAAAGGCTCCGTCAAGGAAGGCAAAGGGCGCTCTGATGCAGCTCATGCCAGTAACCAGGAAGAAGACCTTCACTGTTTGATTATGGCCGATACCGAAGAAAAGGTCAACAAAGCCAAGAAGCTGATTCACAACGTTATTGAAACTGCAAGTCAAGCCTCACCCTATCACATGATTCTCAAGCTAACAACTGCAGGCTGCCTCAATTCCGGAAGGCCAAAACGAGCTCAAGCGTAACCAGCTTCGCGAACTGGCAGCCTTGAACGGTACTCTTCGTGACGATGAGAACCAGGCTTGTCAAAACTGCGGTCAAATCGGACATCGCAAGTACGACTGCCCAGAGAAGCAGAACTTCACAGCTAGCATTATCTGCCGCGTTTGTGGTAATGCTGGTCACATGGCTCGTGACTGTCCCGACAGGCAACGTGGCCAGAACTGGCGCAATGACGGACCTGCCCGGCCTACCGCCGGGCGTATTGGTGGAGGAGAGGCCGACGCTGATTATGAGGTGAGTCTTGAGCTGCACGAGGCTCTGGAATGACTGCACAAAATACTAACAATGACTTGCAGCAATTCATGGCAGAGCTTGGAGGTGGCGCTGCCCCTGCACGTATCGAGGCCGGGCCTGGATCTCAAGTTAACGGAGACGCCAAGCCGTGGCAGCGAGGTCCCACGGGAGGTCCTGCTCCGTGGCGCAATCGCAACCAGGAACGCGAGCACGATGGTGGAGATCGTAGCAGCGGCCCAGGCGGCCCCAGTGGCGGCCCTGCTCCTTGGGCTCGTGACCGCCGTGATCGCCACCATGACAATCATGGCAATGACCATCATTATGGTGGCCACCACCAACACAACAACAACGACGGGAACAACAACAGTAATGGTTATGGAGGACCTGCTCCCCCTGGGGCTGCGCCTTGGCACCAGGCTCCCACCGCACCGCCCGGAGCTCAGCCCTACGGAGGATATCCCGGCGGATATCCAGGCTTTTCGGCCATGGGCGCCCCTCCTGGGCTTGGCCCCCCCCCGGCGCCTCCTTCTGACAACCTGACTGCTCTGATCCAACAGTTTTCTGGAGGTGCTTCAGTCCCTCCTCCGCCGCCGCCATCTGACAGCGCGCCGCCACCACCTCCGGGTGACCTGCCTCCTCCACCGCCGCCTCCAGCTGCTTGAAGTGGATTGAGTTTTACTCCACTAAACTCGTTAAGACTGACGTAGGCCACTGGATCGTATATAAGTATTACTTACGCAGGTCAAAATCGATTAACCGATGGACAAGGCAACTGAGCAGCTTGACGGATCTCCGTATT